AAAAGTTTTGGTCCTTGCTGGCAAAAAACTGGTTCAGGTGGTTTTTGACATCTTCATTTGAGGTAAAGGTTTTGCCATCCAAAAAATTTTGCAGGGACCGGAACAAATAGTAGTCGGAAGGCGCCCGATCTGGAGAATATGGTGGATGTTGCAGTACGTCCCATTCAAGCTGTAAAAGTTTTTGGCGAGTGACCAAACTTGTGTGAGGTCTCGCATTATCCTGGTGGAACACTACACCCTTCCTGTTGATTAATTCGGGCCTCTTCTCTTTAAGTGAATCATTCAATTTGTCCAGTTGATGATAATAGACTTCTGAATTAATCGTTGTATTGTCCCGCAAAAGCTCAAAAAAAACGATTCCTTTGACATCCCACCAAACGGAGAGCATCACCTTTTTTTGGTGAATGTTGGCTTTTGACACGCTTTGAGCCGGTTCATCTTTTCTGCTCCATGACCTCTTGAGTTTAACATTGTTGTATACAACCCATTTTTCGTCCCCAGTAATAATCCTCTTCAAAAATGGATCATTTTCTTGACGTTTGAGGAGCAAATCACACACGTCAACGCGACGACACAAATTTCGCTCCGTAAGGACATGGGCACCCACACATCGAGCTTCGAGGTTAAGCCCATGCCTTTGAAATGGCCATAAACAGTCGAATTCGACAAATTTAATCTCTCAACGATCTCTCGTGTGGTTATTCGCCGATTTGCATCAACTAATGCCTTTATCGCATCTTTGTCAGCTTCGACCGGCCTTCCAGACCGTGGTGCATCTTCGACATCAAAATTGCCGGATCGAAATTTTGCATACCAGTTCTGGCACTGGCGTACTGTTAACACGCCTTCTCCATACACATCCGTCAACTTTTTTCTCGCTTGGATAGCATTTTTACCTTTTCTGAAGTAAAAAAGTAAAATATGACGAAAATGCTGCTTATTGCTCTCCATAATTAAAAGGGCACCAACCAAAAACTACTGCATAGAATTAATTGAACTTTTTCACACACAAGCCTTGCAATATCAGCTCTCAAGGCATATAATGGTTATGCGGCTTAAGTGTGAAGTTGGTTTCGAAAAAACGTAATTAAGTCCTCTGACGGGAAAAAACGAAATTGCTACACAACGCGTCCCACCACACTGTAAGCCCTTTATAAAGAGATAAAAATTGTTTTCATTGACCACGTTTCAGTCAAATACGTATAGTGACGAGCACATCAGCTATTTAAAATATAAGACGGACATTAAAACCAACTAAACCACATTCAGGCATTTGTTTATTATTGCATGAGATTCTAAATGCTTTAATTAATATTTCTTTTTAAACATTTGTCTATCACAAAAAATATGCTGTTGTATTATAAGTTCATTTAGTGTACGGTGTACGGTATTTCATAGTCATAGTCAAATTGTATGGAATCGAACGCGAACAATTTTTTTTAGCGCCCAAATGTTCCTGCAAAATTGTATGTATGCTCGTCCCACTAACGCCCAAAGATACCTGAATCTCATGGTAAGTCGCATGACGATCCTGCAAACTCAGTTCCGCGCTGCATCAATCTTCAAGAAGATTTTTAAAGACTTAATCTTGCAAAATAGCCGATATTGTAAAAACAGAGGCCATGCATATTACATATTACACCTTAAGTAAGATGGATATGAAAAAGAAAACAATAAAAATTTTATTTCATATTCCTGGAAAAAATGCTATTTCTTGCGTCTTATACATGACTTCTGGATTTCAGAACAAGTGTTTGCTACTACATATCATTTGCGTGGGAAAAATATTTCGAATGACGAAGAAAGGAGTCAAGTGATTAGTGATAAACGGTAGGTTTACGGAGAACTGATTTTTTTTTAATTTGAACTAAAATATTTTGAACCATGTAAATTCTAAAAGTTGCATATCACAGTATCGTCGTCTTACATGACATACCTTCCCTGTATCTGTAACTGAAGCAGGGTAGTTTACATAACAGAATAGAGGACACAGCTTTACGTCACGTCTAGTCTAGATGAAAGCTCCAAGAGTTGTCTCCTTGAATACCCTAAGGGTAGATATGGCTACACACCTAAACACCTAAACGAGAGGTTAGAACTTTCGCACTTGTCTGTCCTACTCTCTCGTCTTCCTGTTCACATACCCTGCAAATAGGTATGCTACTCAAATGCAACCTGAATTGGTGTTTCGTTTGGATAGCTTATATTTTATTACATTTTTAGATTCTTTGCAATGTAGTTTTCGAAATATTAATTATTTTCCATGTTTTTTTTTTTAATTAACTGCTAAACCTCTAGCTACAATTTGAACCCATAGAAATTTGAAATGTTGTATGTACATGCCCAAGGTTAATACTACAGTCAAAAATTTGCTACTTACAAATCTGGTTTATTAATCAAACTTGCTAAACTTGCTGACGTTTGGGCAATCATCCTGTTGGCTTCTTCTATGAGGAATCCGGAAGATTTGTAAGCAGTAGCAGTTTCTTTAAAAAATGTCAAATATACCGTCCTGTAAATTATATCTAGTCCTAAAATGTTTTACGTTTTCTTTAAAATAATGTAGAATGCAATGTAGAATGGTAAGTCATATGTCACAGTACGCCATGTTGTTTAACAGTAATTGTTCAAATGCCATTTCAAGAGAAATTCCAAGGTTTTAAAACCTGAATTTATGATTTTTTTACTTAATAATTAGTTTAAAATAAACTAAAATAACTCAAACAAAGTTTTGATAGACCATTTTATTCTCTATGTGAGATTGAGATACTTTTTAATCACATCAGCAAATTGGAACAACAACGTTCAGGGGATTGAACGAAATGTATCCCTATATGAATAAAAAATAATGAAAAAAGTTTGTGCCCATACAAAATGAGTTGCGGCAACTCCAAATTCCAACCACTCATGGTCAAAGTTTTGCCCGCATATCCCCAAGCATCCATGCGAACTGCAACTCATGATTTGGGCATGAAACTTTGCTATATATCAAAACCCCAATAGAATAATTGAGCAATTATTAATTAATTAATTGTTAATACAACGGCCTTGTAGAATTAGCGTAATTATTTCGGAATCTTTATTAGATAGGGATATCAAAATATTCTATATAATAAAAAAAATTAATTAACTTTTGTAATTTGGAATTTTAAAAAATAAAATTTTAGTAATTTTCGTGTACTTCGTTAGTTTAGTAGTATTTAGTTAGTTCAGTCAATTTACGGGGCTTTCGAAAACTGCGACCATGAGACATGAGACGCAAATAATGGGATGATAGTTGTAAATTCATATGTCACCAATAAAAGAGGCAATGTCGCGTCGCCCCAAATATTTTAGTTCAATGGAGTAGGCTCGAAACTCCAATTACAGTCTCAATCTTCATCGTGCTGGCTTTTCTACGCAATTGTGTAAGTTACCCGCCAGCGGCAGGCCCAAAACTCAGTTCCGGTAGGCAGAACAAAAGGGACGGAATGTCAAAGATTTAATCTTTTTAAATGACACTAATAAAAGACAATGACATTAAATATACACAATAAATTCATAGCTAGGAATATCTATACACAATACATAAATGTCTAAATCTAATTCTGTTTCATTATTAAAGTATTGTACAAAAATGTAAGAGTCCTCACTTTTTAGAATGAGCTGTACAGAATTTTTTCAGCTCTCAATTGGTGTGTTATTAATTACATTTTTAATCAAATTTATAACACTGGGACTTGCAGTTAGAATAATATTTTCTGGTCTGACCTTAGTTCCGTTAATGTTCCATGGGATTAAACATACAATGAAGCCGTAAAATGGCATACATACTGTTTTTTAATCCAATTTAATTAGGGTGGCACGGCTTGTATTTATATTGGTTTTATCTTCTTCTAGCTTCTTTTTCAGATTATTTAAGGTAGAGACAACTTCGCGTTGTTAAAGAAAATATAGTTTCCTTCTTATTAGGTCCTGATCATTATTTCTATGGCGTTTAAGTAGACAGGTTTCTGTTAAAGCCTCATGTTTAATGAGTCCTCCACTAATTGACGTTTCATACACATTGTTCACAACCTATTTCAGTTAGTTACAAATGATTTCGACCCTATGTTTTATTTACATACATAGATTACGCGTTCCCTGGGCGACCTAATAATCTCGCTCGGCGATATGAACCCCTACCCCCATTAAGGCTGACATCTGGCGACCAAAACTAGAGCTATTAATGCGCGACATCTCTCGTCAAACAATTTTTTTTGTTTGGTTGGGAATCTATAAATTTTCAATCTCATAATCTCCCCGGGGTACGGGGGATGTAGAACTTAAGAAAAGATACTACTATTGTTATATTTTGTCAGTCAAGTAAAAATAATTTTTTGTTAATGGGTTTGCTTAACAACAATAATAAGATAAGTAAAAAGAATACGTTGGATAAATTGAAAAAGAAGCTTGAGGAAGTTGAAACCAATATAAGCCGTGCCACCCTCCATTGCAAAGTAGACAAACGGCAAGTGGTAATGGAATCACAGTTGGAGATTTAATTGCCTTGAAGAAATTAAAAGACACAGATTAGAGAACAAATCCATAATTTACCTTGATGAAATAGCCATGAATTTATTGTATATATTTAATGTCATTGTTGTTTCTCCGTCCTTAATGTTCTGTCCTTTAATACCTACCGAACCCGAATTTTTTACCGTCGGCGGGTAACTTCCATAATTGCGAGCAAAAGCCAGCACAATGAACATTGAAACTTCTGCAGTACGGTCAACCATCGATCAAAACTAATAACTCACACTCATGACTCATAACTAATCAATAATCAAAATGTCACTTTGACCACACTGCTGAGCGTCATATAGCGTCATTAGGCATTAGAAACGACAACCAGAATGCCCGGCACAAAAGACCGTAAAATATTCGTAAACTAGTCACTCGTGGATGTCGATCCGGGCTGAAAAGAAAGACGGTTGCGACCGCCTCCCGACGGCGGTCTCGCTCCGACATTGTCGACTTACCTTGAAACCATCGTAGGTCCAGCTGCCGAACTTCAAAACGCAGGTCTGCTCGTCGAACGGAAAATATTCGACGTCAATTTCGCAAGAGGATTTGTAAATGGCGGGCGGTTTCCACTCGACCAACCCCTGATGGTAGATCGTGGCCTTGGTCGCCAAGGTCACTTCAAAATTGCCATCAGCACTAAAAGGTTTACAAATGACCGCAAATGGGGAAGCGTTGCCGGGGAGAAAATTGTGGTGGAGCCGCCATTTCCCGCGTGTGGTGGTTGCCGCCCGGGTGGCCCAAATGATTGATGCTGACCAGCGCAACTGATGAGAGGAGGTGTAGGAATGATCGCGAATTTCAACCGGACGCCTGCGTTGCCAGATTTAAGGATATCGGAGTCAGAGAAAGCATAAATGTATTAACTAAAAAATTCCTTGAATTTTTTTTTCAAAATCTAGAACGCTTTGGTTTTTGTCAGCTATCGACGCATATTTCCGCAATCTGGCAACGTCGCGTGGAGAACCGCCGAAAATTTAGGAAGGCTCAAATAAAAAACGATCCAAAATCGCTAAACAAAATTGAGCAAGAGCCCGCGACGGCCAGGCGTTAAATAAATAATCATTTATTGACCACTCATAAATACAAAAACGTCTTTTTGAAGTCAGGAAGAGTACACCTATATATATGTATGTATATATATATATATATATATATATATATATATATATATATATATATATATATATATATATATATATATATATATATATATATATATATATATATATATATATATATATATATATATATATATATATATATATATATATATATATATATATATATATATATATATATATATATATATATATATATATATATATATATATATATACTATATTCCGGGATATCATCCGTTCGCTTGTTGAACTCCGACTTGAATCCTGCAGACGTTTCGCCAAAATCTCACTTGGCATCTTCAATGCTCGCGCTCCGAAAACACTTCGAACACTCACTCAGTATTCGAAGTGTTTTCGGAGCGCGAGCATTGAAGATGCCAAGTGAGATTTTGGCGAAACGTCTGCACAACCTCGATCATAATGTTATGATATTGTCGGATTTTCGGGTTATGTAGCGGTGATGGCCAGCATGAGTCGGAAAGAGAGGCAAATTTGAGTAGATTTCAACTAAAGATTGGAGAATAAACATACATGGTAACGTAACTATTTTCAATTTTTTGAATATTCGGCGGCAATGGCTGGACGGCGGAACACCCCCAAGAACCCGAAGATAATAGTAGCCCATATGATAAGACACTGTGAACCAATGCAAAATAAATTATACGGAGAGTGCTTTGCGAGATGGAACGTCGCAGTTGTCTCAGGACAAAAACCTGAGAAGACATTTACCACAGGTAGTCTATATGAGACGACCGGGTTAAAAACGTACCTGGGTACCAAAATTGAGCAAGAGCCCGCGACGGCCAGGCGTTAAATAAATAATCATTTATTGACCACTCATAAATACAAAAACGTCTTTTTGAAGTCAGGAAGAGTACACCTATATATATATATATATATATATATATATATATATATATATATATATATATATATATATATATATATATATATATATATATATATATATATATATATATATATATATATATATATATATATATATATATATATATATATATATATATATATATATATATATATATATATATATATTATATACTATATTCCGGGATATCATCCGTTCGCTTGTTGAACTCCGACATGAATCCTGCAGACGTTTCGCCAAAATCTCACTTGGCATCTTCAATGCTCGCGCTCCGAAAACGCTTCGAACACTCACTCAGTATTCGAAGTGTTTTCGGTGCGCGAGCATTGAAGATGCCAAGTGAGATTTTGGCGAAACGTCTGCACAACCTCGATCATAATGTTATGATATTGTCGGCTTTTCGGGTTATGTAGCGGTGATGGCCAGCATGAGTCGGAAAGAGAGGCAAATTTGAGTAGATTTCAACTAAAGATTGGAGAATAAACATACATGGTAACGTAACTATTTTTAATTTTTTGAATATTCGGCGGCAATGGCTGGACGGCGGAACACCCCCAAGAACCCGAACATAATAGTAGCCCATATGATAAGACGCTGTGAACCAATGCAAAATAAACTATACGGAGAGTGCTTTGCGAGATGGGACGTCACAGTTGTCTCAGGACAAAAACCTGAAAAGACATTTACCGCACAGGTAGTCTATATGAGACGACCGCGTAAAAAACGTACCTGGGTAGGTCCAAGGACCGGTCAAAGTTTTTACTTCTTCTATTGGTTAGTTGCGAGGTGTGTTCAAAAAGTAAGGTCATTTTTGAAATGTTATGTTGGTACACATTAAAAGGACTTGTTGGAAATAGAAATAAACAAGCAGACTTTACCAATATTGATTTTGGACATTACAATGACAAAGAAGAAGAAAACATGAATAACTTTTATGCCGATAGCTTAAATGAAATAGCAGAGAGTATAGAAAAGAAGCAATGGCACTCTAAGTGTGACATGGTCAGCTGTAGCTTGTCTTGCTTTAAAAAAATAACGATATCGGAGAATCGAAATAGAAGTACAAGTGACTTTGTTCTAAATAATAAGCTCGTCAAGGATTTATTTTATGTAATAGGTTATCCGTTGTTATATTTGGTGAATGCGTCTTTAAGTGCCGGAAAAATCCCTGATAAACTAAAAACAAGCATCATAGTGCCCATGCCTAAAGTGTCAAAACCGAAAACACCTGGTGATTTTCGACCAATTAATTTGCTGCCTGTAGCGGATTAAATCCTGGAAATGATAGTGTGTGGGCAGTTGAGGGACTACCTGGAGCGGAACTGCCTACTCTACAGTGGACAGTCTGGTTTCAGCAGCAAACACTCGTGCGAATCTGCGTTGCAATATATATGTGCATTGTGGCCGCAAGATATGAATGAATCAAAACTAATTCTGAGTGTTTTTGTAGATTTTAAACGTGCATTTGAGACTAATGACAGGGACATTCTTATTACAAAATTAGGTTTATATGGTATTACAGACTCTGCACTAGAATGGATAAAGAACTTTTAATGTGATAGATCTCACCAGACTAAAATTAATTATAATGTTTCTAGTTATAGGGATAGCAGATGGGGGGTGCCGCAGGAAATCGTGTTTTTTAACTTATTTGCTGATGACGCGCTTATTTCAGTCTCTGGAAACGATTGCAAAGAAGTAGCTACCAAACTGAACACCCAAATGCAGTATTTCTACGAATGGCTGTGTCAAAATAAACTGAAATTAAGTAGCCCCAAAACCAAGTGTATGCTTATCGGTTCTAAGGTTAACTGTCAAAAATTATTTCGGGGTATTCTGTGGATATACAGGGTAATAAAATTGAGTTTGCTTCCGAAATTAAATATTTAGGGGTGATCTTGGATCCACAATTATGCTTTAGTATCATGTTGAATATCTATGCAAAAAAATTGGTAAGAAAATAGGGTTCTTTAACCGTGTATCGCGGTTTTTATCGCAGTGGACTAGGATATTAGTGTATAATAGTATAATTTTGCCTTATTTTTCATATGTTTGTTCGTTGCTTACATCTTGTACAAAAGAAGATTTAAATAAGTTATAGTTACAACAAAATAGGGTTCATCCTGAACTGTGATAGATATACTCCTATAAAGAGTATGTTAGACCAGCTAAATTGGCTAAATATCGGGCAGTTCATTAGAAGAGCAAGTTTAATGTTGGTTTATGGAATTGCGCGCGATCACCAACCAGGCTATCTTAAATTATGGTTGGAAAAAAGATCAAACTTTTATCAATATAATATACGTTCCAATCAGCACTTCAATGTTTCTATGATAAAAACAACAAATTTACAGAAAACTCTATTCTACGATGGTGTTTGTAATTTTAATGAACTGCCGGATAATATTAAGGGCGCGCCTTACCCAAGAGTGTTCAAGAAGAGACTTACTTACTTTGTTTATGCAAATTTTACTTGCCTATGTAAATAGCCAAGCGCTAAATAAATAAATAAATAATAAAAATAAAAATAATAAATTTCCCTAACATATCATCACACTATCAGCCAATGTGCACCTTTACATCTTTCTGGTGAGACAGAAGCGTCAGACGTGTTTTGTGTACTAGGCGATTTTCTGCTGTCAAAAAAATTGAACATGGAATATACATAAAATTTTGTGTAAAAAATGGAATACAGCGCTGGAAAATACTTGAAATGTTGAGCAAAAACAAAAAGTTTATAAGTGGTACAAGCTGTTCCAAGATGGCCGAGAAGATACCGATAATGATCCTCGCTCTGGACGTTTCAGTACGTCAATAAGTGAAGACCGAGTTGAAGAACTGAAACAAATGGTGTTGAAAAATCTTCGAATCACTACTAGAGAAGTGACTGAAGTCGTCGGCATATCTATTGGCTCGTGGCATGCAATTTTTTCTGAAATTTTTGGCATAGAACGTGTAGCGGCTAAATTTGTTCCGAAACTTTTTAATATTGGACAAAAGCACCGTCGAAGGAGAATCGCTCAAGAGCTGTTAGACGACGTCAATGATGATCCTGATATGCTGAAACTGGTAACCAATCATGGGCATATGGGGATGACGTTGAAACCAATGCCCAGTCGTCGCAGTGGCAGAACTCAGAATCACCAAGACCAAGAAAAGCACGTCAAGTTCGATCAAATGTCAAGGTTTTGCTTGCTTTTCTTTGATTATAGTAATTTAGTACATTAAGAATTCTTACCACAAGGTTGTACGGTCAATAAAGAGAAATAAACAACTCATAATGCACCTGCTCACGCATCGTTGCTCGTGGCTAACTTTTTGGCCAAAAACAAAATCACATTCTCGCTTCAGCCACCATATTCACCGGATGAAAAGAAGATGGTCTGGAACAATTGAGGAGATACAGAAAAAATAGCTGAAAAAACTCAAGGCTATACCAGAAAGTGCTTACCAGAAGTGCTTCGAGGATGGCTCAAATACATATATTATATCTAGGTTGGGGGGTGGGGGGGTTACTTTGAAACGGACAACATTCATTCTTATGAATAAATAAATACTTTTTCATAAAACTTAAAAGACACCTTACTTTTTGAACACACCCCGTATCCACAATAGATGTTTCACGT